TCGAGTATACTTACTCTAAAAAGAAAAAAATATATATTAACAGAAGTTCTTCAGCCAGAACGAAATTTGGGATATCAATAATAAAGTAATAGTAACAAAATAGTAAATAGTTATAGCAAAGAAAATAAAACTTTTCTTCTGTTGAATTCTTTAAAATGAGCTTAACAGCTAAAAGGAAAATTATAAAATATTCTCATGAGGTTTTCGACTGATGTAGATGTGAAACATACTAAAAATACAATAGACAGAGGTGTAGTGATAAAAGATTCTCAGTTCCACTTGAAGTAGTACAATATTAATTCTAAATTGTGAAAAGTTAAATGTTGGTTAATTCCTATAGCAAAGACTAAAAGAAAAAAATATAAAGCTAATTAAAAATTCAACAGAAAAAGTATAGTTTAGAAAAAGTATCCAAAAAACTCATAAAAAATTAAAAAGGAGGAAAAGTAGTAAAAGCCAGAGGAAACAGAAACACAGTAAAATGATGTTTTTGTTTGTTTGTTTATTTGTTTTAAGATTTATCTATTTATACATACAGAACTGGGGAATAGGTGCCAGAGGTGTGGGCAGTGGGCACCAGAGGCAGAGTGGGGTGAAAAACAGGCAGATCAGCTAAAATACACTGCTGAGGGGAGCAGCTGGTGTGTCAGGAGAGGTCTACCACCTCATGTGGGTCATACCACCTCGAACCCCTTACCCAGGGATCAAACTTATGATACAGTGGCTGTGATAGCTGCACACTACTGTGCTTTAACCTTTGCATCACCAGGGAGGGCCCATAAAATGATAATTCTAATCCAAAACATCAATAACTAAGGGTACCATTCAAAACACAAGAGCACCATTCAAATCACAAGAGTATAAAAAAGAATTTTAAAATGAGTCAATTATGTGGAGTCTAAACAAATGCACTAACTGTAATAATGTAGGCATCATTAAAAAGAAAATCCATATGAGGTGCAAATAAATATCACAAGAAACCTGCAGCACTTATAGCAATAGCAGAAAAGGTAGAACTTAAGAATAGGGGAAATTGTCAAAGACATAGAAAGAACATAATAACAAAAGTGTCATTTTATCAAGAAAACATATTTAACCTAAATTTCTAAGCTTCAACTCTAGGG